GCAACTTACATAGTACATACAGACAATAGAGATGTCCGAAAAAAAGAAATTTTCATATGTTTTACTAATTGATCGACAAAAATCACCAATACTTTTGGTAAGTGGGTGTAGTGTCTGTGAAACTCGTTATCCAAAGCCTAAATCGAAATTTCATATGATATTTCCACTTTCTATTGTAGACTGTCACACAAACATAGCAGGGAAATTATTGTATGATTAGGCCATTAGCCAAATTTAGTTAGAGTTATCAGGCAACCAGACTGTAAGATTATGTCAGTGTGATGTAACATCTTATATTTATTATTATTATAAATAATCCTTGATTTTAATAATTTGGTACCAAAGCTACTCCATAACAATATGTCAAGCAAAAAAAGAATATCTCTCTCTGCCAAACAATGCTAACATTTCAGCAAATGATTATGTTCACATTGAAGACAAGAATAATTGGACAATCCTTACTGATGAAGATGTAATAGAATTAGTAAATTGGGAGGAGATGAGTAGCAAAAGTGAAGCTGAAATGGTAGAAAAGTTAGAAACAATAAGTAATAGAACAGCCAGTACATCAATTGACACAGTTTTAAAATTCTTGTATCAACAAGGATCAGAATTTGGTGAGGTTGTCAAAGAAGTAAAGATTTTGAGAGCATTATGCAGATGGGTGGAGCTAGTCATTCAGAAAAATCTTAAACAAGTTAGTCTTCACCATTTTGAGGATAAAATGATTGAACAGTAGTTGGGAGTTCTTTTTATAGTGGTTGGGAATTGGTAAACATAATAAAAGGCCATTGTTGCACATGTGTATTGTATGTCACATGACTTTCACTATAGTAAATGCTGGTTATAGTGAACTAAAATCCTCAGACTGGAGCAGTTCACCATAAACAGCTTCAACTGTATATCACTTTATTCATAATAATAATTGGATATAATATGATATATCAACATACCTCTACAATTACAATGGATCACCTTCCCATGAGACATATAAGGCCTTATATAATTCCAAGGGGATTTGTTTTACACAAGGCTAGACATTCTATTGGGTTGGACACATTTTTAAAATAAATAATTACCTATATAATGGGGAATACCTGGGTACAACAACAAATTTTTATTTATCTAATATCCTTTACTTGTCCAATCATTTTCATAACCTTCTACTTCATCATATTAATATTAATATGTCTCTCCATCAATAGAATCAACTTAAACTACCAAAACTTTTCACTATTTTCTTTTACTAAACCCTCATAATCAAAAACTAATTCATCTTCTGTTCCATCCATGTTTACCAAAATGCCACAACATTTGAATGCTTTCCTAATTAAGTTAGAATCAACATTATCCCATGATTCTTTGACCCATTGTGCAACAGTTGCATATGATGTTTTTTGAATATGTCCAGCTGGTGTTAATTGATGAACTTCATTGGCCATCCATTCATTGTAACAATCATACACCTAATAAGTTAAAAATTCAATAAATATATTTTATATAATTGTGATATGATAAAAAATTAATTTACCTTTTGTTTGAAACTTTTGTTAATAGCAACATCTAGTGGTTGAAGTTTGCTAGTCAATCCACCTGGAATAACTGCAAGGTAAGTGTTGTTTTCTTTGAAATTTTATTTGACTGATTCAACCAAATGTAAATGGCCTCGAAATGAATCCAAAACAAGAAAAGATTTTGGAGTTCCCATCTCATTACATTTGATCCAAACAGTATCAATCCAATGATTCATCTCTTGTTCATTACACCATCCTTTCTCATTAGCTCAGATAATAATGCCTTGAGGAAAGTTTTCATGCAGGACATTTTTTAGTTTGAAGATGCAAGTAGGAGGGAGTTTTGTGCCATCAGCAAGACATCCAAGAATTACAGTAAAACAAGCTCTTTTGTTACGGCGCGCTGATCTGATGAATCAGATAAGTAAGTCACATGGTAAAATCTTCCTCCGCAGTCATGCAGATC